CATTTAGAATTAAGATATTTTTTAGTTGAACCTTTGTAAATTTTAGCACAATTTAATAAATTATGCTAGAAGCAATTAGGAGATTTTTCATGTAATGCTGATACATTTCAATTAATATTTTATATTTCAATTTGAATTTTTAATATTTCAATTTGAAATAACTCATACATGTAAAAAAAAACTATAAAATACTATAGCATATTATATGTACCCTTCACCCAATTTCTTAGGTGTTAATAATTTAAACATAACCATTATACAACTAACAAAATTTGGAATATATTTTTCTTATAATCTCTTTAATGTTACTTAATCCATTTACTTTACTTTGCTTTTGTTAATCTTCACCCAAGGATATTTTTCCATTGAATTTTAGAGAGTGAAGGGAGAGGGAGAGACACATTGATTGGTTACCTCCTGCACATGCTTTGATAGGGATTGGGGATCAAGCCAGTAACTGAGGTACATGCCCTTCACTGGAATCAAACCTGGGACCCTTCAGTCCACGGGCTAATGCTCTATCCACTGAGCAATACTGGCTGCAGCTTAATTCATTTACTTTTAATCTATATGTGTCTTTATATTTAAAGTGGGTTTTGTTTTTGATTCACCCTCATAATCTGTCTTTTAATTGGTGCATTTATGCCACTGACTTTCAGAGTGCTTACTGATAGAGTTACTACCGTATAAGGCAGCTTCTGGGGCTTCTGGGGCCGGCCTGCCTTGCTGCCAGAGACTGGATTGAGTCCCAGGTGGCAAAGCAGGCTGCCCTCTTGGGCTTCTGGGGCCGGCTTGCCCTGGATGGCGGCGCGCTGGCGGCTCACACTGTCCCGCCCTGCATGCAGTATGCAAATAAACCGCCATTTTTGTTGGCGGTTAATTTGCATATCATGCTGATTAGCCAATGGGAGGCATAGCAAAGGTACAGTCAATTACCATGTTTGTCTATTATTAGATAGGATATTATTATTATTATTATTATTATATATCAAGGTATTTTATAGTAACTCCAGAGCACTATCTAAACTTTCTGGCTGTATGTCTTCAACATATTAAATTAAAATGTAGAAACTTTGCTATATTTCTACAATAATGAGAGAATTTTAGAGACAGGAGAGGCAGTTTTAGGGAAAGGGGGTCCATAGGAGGGGAATGCATACATGACAGTCAGAGCAGCTCCAAGCTGCCACATTATTTATCTTATATACACAGAGGATGGAGGAATGTTACAAGATAAGGGGAAAAAGAATAAGGGGGCACTAGGTGAGATTTAAAACATTGAAAATGATACCATACATGGGGTAAGGAAGAAAAGTAAGCAATTTGGAAAGCAAGGATGACATATAATAAGGCAGGATCCAATTAGAGAACATGAACAGATAAAGAAGCTCCCAGCATTTAGAAACCTGTGTAGACAAAGAGACTCAGAGGACTAGGTTTTTCCCATCTTAGAGACAGTGGTTTTTCCCATTTAGGGACCGCTCCCCAGGAGATTCCTCTTTGGGGACCCCTCCCCAGGGGGGACTTTGTATACATTCGCAATAAACTTCCACATTTTTGCTAAAAATCTTTTAGTCCACGAATTTTATTCTTCAAATTTCTTAGGACAAGAACCCACAATGAGAGTCCAAGCTTCACCATTTCAAGTATCACTAAGGTGTTAACTTTAAAGTAAGGAATTTTGCTCTCCTGTGGCTCATAATCCCTGATGAGATGGCTGCATATGTGAAATATAAAGCAATCATTTTCTTTGTGTATATGCACCCTTTTCTCCCCTGCAAGGGTGGGATGGCTTGAATCACCCACTTACCTGGCTTCTTAGTGGAAAGAAGAAAAGTTCAATTTTGAATATAAATTGGGGGGAGGGGATCTTCCACTGTGATGTCCCAAAATCAGATTTTGTGTTACTTCCCTCATTAGCTTATGAAGAACAGCTACCAGCAGTGATACACTGTCCTTCAGTGACACTTAGCTTCCAGAGGTCACAGGGAGAAGCCCAAGGGACTCCTGAGAAGTGCCCTGGTATTCCCCAAGTCCTGCAGGAGGCAGGTCAGACCCAGGGGTTCTACAGACCTCCTGTGAGTGCAGAGGTTGCTCACAGAGACAACACCAGCAGGCAATAGAGGAGGGCAATATGGTGGGAGACTAGTTGGGGTGAAAGGTTGGAGGTAAATCTTAACACTGTGGCTTTTCCCCTGACTTTCTAGGGCTTGGAAACCAAGACCTCCTAGATTCACAACTGAGTCTTCTCTTATTGGGTAAGACTGGAACAGGAAAAAGTACTACAGGGAACAGTATTCTTGGAAAGAAAGTGTATCATGAAGATCTGGGAGAAAGGGAAAAGCACATGGAATGGAGGAGAAATTGTCCTCATGGGCACACCTGGCATTTTAAATATGACATACTGGATTCTACAAGGAAAAGGAGATTGTTCCTTTAATTCTCTTCACCTCCCCAGGACCTCACGCTGTGCTCCTGGTGGTCCCACTGGGCCAATACACAAAGGAAGAACAAAGGGCCATGGAGAAGATGCTGGCAATATTTGGAATCAAAGCTAGGAAATACATGATTCTCTGATTCACCCAGAAAGATGAATTAATTGGCACGGAGTTCCATGATTACTTAAAGGAGGATCCAGAAGGAATTCAAGGTCTGATGGAGAAGTTCAAGGATCATCACTGTGAGTTCAACAATAAGGCAACAGGAGCTGAGCAGGAGGCTCAGAGAGCACAGCTGCTGGACCTGGTCCAGCACATTGTGATGCAGAACAAGGGAGGATGCTACACTAATAAGATGTACCAAAGGGCAGAGGTGGATATTCAGAAACAGATTCAAGCTATACAAGAAAAATACAGAGCTGAGCTGGAAAGAGAAAAAAACAGCAAAGAGAGGAGTGTGGAGGGAAAATGAGAAATCTACCGGATAAACTGGAGCAGGGAAAGAAAGAGGCAGAGTGGGCAGGGTATTTGAAGAAACAGAAAATTGCTGTGTTTTAAGGCAGCAAAATGCCAGAAGTGAAGTTAAGAGACAGAATATGATACTTAGTTAATCTTGAGAATAATGGAGATTGCTTTCTTTGTATACTCATTTTTGTTCAAGGAAGATTAAGCTAATGTAAATCTATCTATATTTCCTGTGTATTTTGGGGTGTCTTTTCCCCATATAACTCATTATCCAAATCAGACCTCTGTTTCTCTCTCATCGTTAGCTATTGGTAGATATTTGATTTATCTAATGGGAGGGACACATTCCCAATTTGTAAAACTCCAAACAGAAAGTATGAATGCTCCCTATCTTCTGATCTCCTTCTCAGTGACAGGAGAAAAAGAATACAGGAGCCCAAAACCAATAACCCAAGCTTTCTATATGCATCCTGAGTAAACTTTTTTCCTCTAGATACTTTCTAGATTGTCAGATAATCTCCATCTGTAATTTCTACCTCTTTTTTTGTCTTTATAACCAGAATGATCATTTTACCCATGTGGTTAGAAACAAATCAATTGTTTGCTTTAGGTAATCTATAGATGCAGATAATTAGAGATTCTTTCAAGATGAAAATAAATTTGTTGAATTACAATTTTATGGAAGGATTCAAATTGTTCCATATCATCTGCCTACTGAAGAACAATGAATTGTCTGGAAAACATATCTCTCAGTGCACAAGTAAGTGAAATGCCAGAAAGAGCAAAAGACAGAGATTCAATAGATAAGAGAGGAGTGTTTTATATATTCAGATATTTTTTTGTAGAACCTCTTTACTCAACCTCAATGTAACCACTTTGGTGAATAACTAGCTCTCTACTTTGTGAAACTAACTGTTTCCACCACACCTCAATCATCTTGAACACTAAAGCTAGATGGGTTAACTGTACTATGCTGCCCCCACCCACTAGAATTGTTTATTTTCACTATAGTAAAACTTTTCTATTCTCTTACAAGTGTGCAAAACTGGAATTTGTGTTACCTGAGAAAATAGCAATAATACTTCTTCTAAGGTCACAGAGATGAATTTCACCTTTTGGTGAAAGTTCAAGTTGTTTTGAAGCTTTACTTGGTCTACCCACTAAGACACCTCTTCTCCATTCCCCTGAAAGTTTGAAACACATTCTTAACCCATCTGCCCATCAAAGACCACATCCTCCTTGAATTCATTCATTAAGTGCTGATGGAAATTGTGTGAAACCAATGTTTATGAGACCTTTGTGAGTTTCCTGGTTTATAACAAATCTAATCTAATAAAAGGGAAACATGCAAATTGACCGCACCTCCTCTACACCCAAGCCACGCTGACCAGCCAATCAGAGCGACTATATGCAAATTAACTGAACCAAGATGGCGGCCTGCAGCCATGGAGCTGGAGCAAGCAAGAAACTTGGTTGCCCCGGTGACGGAGGAAGCCAAGCTTCCCGCCTGCCCTGGCCAGCTGTGGCCTCTGCTAAAGGCAACAAAGTTTCAATTATAGAAGATAAATAAATCCCAGATACCTGCTTCCAGCCAGCCTCCACTGGGAGCTTAGGTGGCTGGGGGCTGTGGCCAGCCTGCAAACAGCCATCAGCCCCTCACCCAGACTGGCCACACCCTCAAGGGGTGAGGGTCCCTGCTGGGGGGCTTGACCAGCCTGCAAATAGCCCTCAGGCCATCACCCAGGCTGGACAGGCACCCCAGCAGGGACCCCCCGCCTGAAGGGGCTGGGGCCAGCCTGCAAACATCCATCAGCCTCTCACCCAGGCTGGCCAGGCACCCCAGCGGGACCCCCACCCTGATCTGGGACATCCTTCAGGGCAAACCAGCCAGCCCCCACCCATGCAGCAGGCATATGATAAAAGGGTAATATGCAAATTGACCCTAACAGCAGAACAACTGGGAATGACTGGTCTCTATGACACACACTGAACACCAGGGGGCAGACGCTCAATGCAAGAGCTGTCCCCTGGTGGTCAGTGCACTCCGACAAGGGGAACTCTGCTTAGCCATAAGCCAGGCTGACGGCTGCCAGCACAGCAGTGATGGCGGAAGCCTCTCCCGCCTCCTCAGCAGCACTAAGGATGTCTGACTGCAGCTTAGGCCTGCTCCCCGCTGGCAAGTGGACATCCCCCGAGTGCTCCTGGGCTGCCAGAGGGATGTCTGACTGCCAGCTTAGGCCCAATCCCCCACGGAGCAGGCCTAAGCCAGCAGATGGACATCCCCTGAGGTATCCCAGACTGTGAGAGGGCACAGGCCAGGCTGACGGACCCCCCCGAGTGCACAAATTTTTGTGCGCTAGGCCTCTAGTATTTAATATAAGGATAACAATACTTGAAATTAACTCTTATACTACAGGGTTCTCCCACCCCAATAATTTATAGGACTTCAAAAAGCACATCTCCACGTTCTACCAGCATGTCCTGGTGGTCATTTGCTATTGTTATATACTCTGCCATCTTGAAATTTGCTTTGCCATGCTCATACCATTTTGTCCCCAATAGGATATATAACCCTCCTTTCCCCCAAACACAAAAGAGTTTAGCCTAAACATTTAATAAAAGTTAGAAAAGGCTCAGTAATTAAGTAAAAGCCACAGAAAGAAGCTCATGATTCTTTCTAAAATAGTACTCACAGTAAGACAGGTTTGGTTTCTCTCCAAAAAATATGGTGCACACTGTGTCTATTGTTTCATCATGGAGTTTTAGACAAATTCTCAGATAGGCCATTAACAACCTGTTGTATCACAAGCTTCTAGAATCATGTATTAAAAAAGAGCCACATATACCTTGCAATAAAAAGTAAATAAAGGTTTAATGTGAAAAAAGACTTTAACAGCTCTGTGGTTAACTCTGAGTAAATGCATTTAGTTTTTCGTACCCTTGCATTCAGGTTAATGCTGTAGATGAGGCAAAGTTAAAAGTTCTGCTCTTGAGAAGCTGTAAGGAGAGGAGAAGCCCCTGTGAAATACCTTGAAAACACTCTTACCCATTTGTCTCCAAAGGTAGAAGGCAGAAAAGAAGGTCCTTGGGAATACCATGCATTGTGATTAATATGATGGAAGAATGAGACAAGTCCCCTTCTCTGAAGAGTGTTGGGAGTTTATACTATTCTTTCATTCATTAACAGTCAGTGATTGTTTAAAATTTGTGAAAGATTTCATACCAGATGCTGTGAATCTAGAGAAAGTAAAACAAAGTCCCTTTTTAAACTGCCTTCCTTAGCATAATGGTTTTGATAATCATTCAAGTTGCTTCTATCAAGAGCTCTTCTCTTTTACTAATGGGTAGTATTCCACCTTTTGGATGTACCACAGTTTCTTTATCATTTCTTCTTTCTTATTCTTATACCACTAATTGATTTGTCTTGTCTAAAATCTCCATTATATTGTTGATTAGAAGTGAATATTCCTTCAGTTAAGTAAGTGAGGAACTGGACAATAGCAGTATATGGTATGGTGTATGTGTGTACATCTATAATAGTAAAAGTATAATATGTTTTAATCCACTCATCTGCTGATGGGCACATAGGTTGTTTCCAAATCTTAGTTATTGTAAATTGTGCTGCTGTGAACATAAGGGTGCGTATGTCATTTCTGATTGGTGTTTCTGATTGCTTAGGATATATTCTTAGAAGTGGTATTACTGGGTCAAACGGCAGTTTCATTTTTAATTTTTGGAGGAAATTCAATAATGTTTTTCACAGTGGCTGCATCAGTCTGCATTCCCACCAGCAGTGCATGAGGATTCCTTTTTCTCCACATCCTCTCCAGCATTTATCGTTTGTTGATGATAGCCATTCTGACAGGTGTGAGATGGTATCTCATTGTGTTTTTATTTGCATCCCTTAGATGATTACTGACTGAAGATGTTTTGTTATGTCTCTTCGCCTTCTGTATGTCCACTTTCAAAACTTGTTAATTAACTCCTTTACTCATTTTTTGATTGGATTGTTTATCTTTCTTTTTTTTAGATGTATGAGTTCCCTATAAATTTTGGAGATTAGGCCCTCATCGAATATAACATTAGAAAATATGTTCTCCCATGCAGTGAGTTTTCTTGTTGTTTTGTTGATTTTGTGTGTGTGTGTGTGTGTGTGTGTGTGTTTGTGATTTTTTTTTTTTTTTCTGTGCCGAAAGCTTTTTATTTGATGTAGTCTCATTTGTTTATTTT